AGATGCTGCAAGAACAGCCACCGAGGAAAAGGAACGGGGTTGCACCGTTAGGCTATTCGGGACGAACAGCCTTAAGGAGGGAGCAGTGTGGCATGTTGACCCCTACCTCCCCAGCTGCACGTAGCGGTAACGTAACGCTCGCGTAATAGGCGAGTAATCACCCCGCATCCTGGCAGCTATGAGCGGTGACGTCACGAGCGGAGCCGAAAGGAGCCGAGCGGAGCCGAAGATAGCCGAGCCCCCGTAACCTGGTAACTATGCAAGGCAGCCGTCAACAACTCAGGACAGCGTGGCTAGCAACAAGGCACCAGGCAACAACTGTCCGATCGAGGCTACATAAGACGCAGCGAAGGCTATTCACAGTCAGTTGTACTGTAACAGTCGCCGAGTCGAGTTGTACTGTGACAGCCGCCGAGTTAGCCAGCAACTAGTCAGTTGTATTCTGGCATTTGGAGTGTACTAATTGTGATACTGCAGATAGCAGTAACCGTAAATCTGTAATTTGGGTGATTGTAAGTGCGAATGTGAAATAAAATTCGCTATACAAAATACGGCGTGAAGTTATTTGTCGCGATATACGCCCGATACGCGACAATATATTCAATAACTGATGACTGTTAGGAAAAAAAAAAACTTCTGTTACATTAAAAAAATGTTGACTGAACATTAAATTCCTAAATATAAAGCATTCACACAGAAATGAAATGATCTTGTGTTAGTGTCCAAGAATAGCACATGGCTTGGGTCTTGCCCGTACACTATTTCAATGCCAACAATTTAAGATACCTGATGTGAGGATGTGTCCATCTCGACTAAAGGCAAGGGTGTGAATGGGACCCTTGTGGCCTGTCAGTTCTGCCAGAAGGTGGCCATGAGCCAGGTCCCACAGTAGGACTCTTGAGTCTGCACCTGCTGATGCCAGAAACCTCCCCTCCACTGAGAAGCACAGGGAGTATACTGGAGCCTGTGGCAGCATCACAATGACAATAATTTAGAAAGATTACACTCATGGTAGAACACATACTTAGTGTGTTTGATAACAAACTGCTGAGGAAAACGTCTGACCTACAAAATTTGACGGTGAAGAGGAACTGAGAAAAATATACAATAAAAATGCTCATAATATGTACTATGGGAGTGTGCTGTAGCAAATATAGCTTATTATGAGCATTTTGTCTTAGTGAGCATTTCTTTACACACTGTCAATTTAATTATGTACAGCACAGAAATATTGATTGATTTTAATGAAAATACTTTTTCAGAAATTCAACTGTAACGTTTTTTCTTCTTTTCATATATGGATTCCTCTAAACAAATGTTTGGCAAAATGGTGTAGCTGCTAAGTTTGAATCTTGACAACTCATTTGTTGGTGACAACACAGCACTCTCATGTTTTGACCCCTTAGGGTTTCAAATGCTCCAGAAGGTGAATGGATAAGCTGCAAACTGTGCATATACAGGGTGTCTACAAAAGGTCTGACACATTTTGATCTTTAATAATTCGGGAAATAATGAAGATAGAAATAAACCTTTAGCAATGATGGAAAGATCGACTCAAAAAGTTTATTTTCCTCTTTACAGGTCACGAACGTGTTCATAGCCCTCGGTGCAGTGTTCATTGTTGAGAAAATGGCGACTCCACAAGAGAGAACGCAAACAGTGGTGTGGTTTTGTGAAACGAAATCGGTGACACAAACGCAGAGGAACTTCAGAACACATTACCAGAAAGATCCTCCTTCTAGAAACAGTATCATAGACTGGAAAAAGACATTTTTAGAAACAGGAAGTGTCCTCAGTAAGAAGAGTTCTGGATGTCCCAGCGCAAGCAATGTTGATGCTGAGCATGTCCGAGAAGCATTAAGAAATCTTTGAGAACAGCGAGAAGAGAATTGAATATGCCAGTTTCAACAGTACACAAGGTTCTATGGAAGAAATTACGGCTGTATGCTCATAAGATGCAACTTGTGCAAGCTACTGAACAACATGATAAGCCTAAGAGAACAGATTTTGCAACAGATATGTTACGAAGAATAGAGGATGATCAAAGATTTCTTACAACCATACTGTTCTCCGATGAAGCGTGCTTCCACATTTCTAGAACAGTCAATCGCCATAACGTCGCATCTGGGGATCAGAGAACCCTCATGAATACAGTGAAATGGCAAGAGACTCCCCAAAAATGAATGTGTGGTGTGCTCTTATGCACGATCGAGTCACTGGACCTTTCTTTTTCGCAGAAAAGACAGTCACATCAGTCATTTACCTAGACATTGCAGCAACCAGAGTAAGAGACGCAATAACCACTGTGGATGTCGGTATGCTTGCCCGAATCTGGCACGAAATTGAATACTGTCTTGATATTTTACATGCAACAAATGGAACACATGTACAACTTTATTAACAATAGACACAAAACTTTTTGAGTTTCTCAATCCAACAATGTAATCAGTTTATTTCTATCTTCGTTATTTTCCGACTTATTAAAGATCAAAATGTGTCAGACCTTTTGTAGACACAAAACTTGAGGATAATAGTTACTGTATAAAGAGAAAATCTTGATCAAATGCAGACAAAATTAACTGAATTTTATATACAACCAATTTAACAGCAGATTATTTCAAAATTTCCACAGACCCTGGGCATGGAATTTATATGGAAGATAAGGTCCATGTTAGAGAACTCAAAATCATCCATCACTAAAATGACTAGAAAGGAGTTGAAATCTGAGGCTCAACAAAGATACTGGGATTCTTCACGCAGACAAAGGCAATTACACTGTGGTGTTGGAGGAATCCAACTATATGTTAAACACTTTGCTAGAGTCCAGGGTTTATGAGCCTGAACAATCTACAGCTGAAAATAAAAGGAAAGTACAAAACTTCCTTGCCAAATACAGGGTGATTCACGAAGTTTTACCCCAGCTTATGGTACATATTCGTGGGGTTATTATAAACTTGTGGTCGATTTTCAACAGTTATGGAGTAACAATAGATTTTCAAAACGCATCATTGCGAATGCAGCGCTTTGCTTCCTGCGTGGGCAACCATGCATTCCAGTCAGCTGTGTCAGCAGATAAGGCAGACCAGCTGGAATGTTGCACGCACGGAGGCAGGCAGAGCGATCCAGTAGTAAACAGGACATTGTGTTGGTGACTTTGTGAAGTTATGATGCCGTACAGGTTTTCCACTGAGGAATACGCCGATATGGTGTTTGTTTCAGGTGTATGTGATGGAAATGCGAGAGCTGCTGCTGCCAAATATCACCGGCGTTATACTAATCTCAGGATTCCGAATTGTAAATCCATTAACAGTAGATTCAACACATTAAGACAAACTGGTTCTCTCCCAAGCATTCATATACAATAGGAACGAAATCCTCAACATGAATTGTGTGAAGAAGAAAACATTCTCGATGCTGTAGAGCGCATTCAGCCTGCCGGTACAAGACGTCTAGCTCGGTGGTTCGGTGTTTCTCAGTCCATGGCGTGGAGGACTCTTCATGAGAATGGGTTGCATCCTTATCATTTACAGCCAAGTACGTACAACACCTACAACCAGGAGACTGTACTCTTCGTCTGCAGTTCTGCAACTGATTAAATGGAAATCGGCAGTTGTACCGCTTGATAATGTTCTGCAATGAGGCACAGTTTACATGGGACGGGGTCAACAACAGTCACAACTTACATGTTTGGGCAGACAATAATCCCCGTGCCACGATAGAATCGAATTTTCAACACCGATTCAGTGTCAATGTCTGGTGTGGTGTTCTGTATGATCAGCTAATGGGGCCGTTCATTTTTCCTGGCTGCTTAACTGGTGAGATTTACCTCCACTTCTTAGAAGAAGAATTACCACAGTTACTTGAAGATGTTCTTCTGGCAACAAGATGCCGGATATACTTTCAGCATGATGGGGCACCTCCTCACTTCTCCCATGCAGTAGCAGCTCACTTGGATCAGCATTTCCCACAGTGGTGGATTGGTGAGGGAGGCTGTAATGCCTGGCCTCCCAGGTCGCCAGATCTAATGCCATTAGATTATTGCATTTGGGGATGGATGAAGGACATTGTATACCAGGTAAAGGTACAAACACGTGAAGTGTTGCTTGAACGTATTCTGGACGCAGCGATGACAATAAGGAAACGTGTGGAACTACGAAATGCTACGAGCGCGGTTCATATGCATGTGACGTGTTGTGTTGACATGCAGGGAGACATTTTTGAAAATCTTATGTAAATCCAGTCGTCTTGTAAAGCACTACAGTGTAAAGGAAACAGATTGATAGAAGGGTGTGATATGCAACCATTGGTATGTTTACAGAATGGGATGCTGAAAATAATGTAATTTTGTAACATAAAATCAATGAAAAATGTTGCACAATGCAAAATTAAATTGAAAAAAAAAATGGTTTTAGAATGCTTCTTTCCTAAAACATTAATGATTTAAAAAGTGTTTGTATTGCATTTCTAATTTGTTTTGACTGAAATTCGAAGAGAGAAGGATTTCTTGCCAGTTTTCAAATTACTGTATCTCTTTAATTATGAGTTGGATACCATTAGTATATTAAAATTTTTTGTTCCAAATTACATCAGGAATGCCCTCCCTAAGTGGGGGTAAAACTTCGTGAATCACCCTGTATAAAACGGTTCACCTTAAAATGGATCTTAGATAAAAACGCTGTGACGACGTGAATTAGACTGAACTGACTCACAACAGGGTCTGATGAAAGGTGCTTGTGAAGACACCAGTCAGCATTCAGTTTCCATAACAGGAAATTTCTCAGTGCCTTGAATAATTATCCACTACTTTCACTACTCAAAATAAGCCCAGCAGTCAATACAACAAAGCTGTACTGCATAACAAAGTCAGAGTTGACAATATGGATCACTCAGTTACCTACAAATCATAAAATTGTGGGTTACTGTGTTACCTGACCTTGTGTCCTGTCATAAGTCGTACATGGTTTCCTGTAACACAATCCCAGAGCCTCACTGTTCGATCACTAGAGCCAGTTGCTACATAGTTGGAGTTGGGATGGAACTGGATGCACTGCAAGAGTTCAAAACAGACTGCTTTATGATGGAGAGTGAGCAAATGTGACGTCATAATTAAATGCATAAATACCGTGACATGTCAAACCGTTGTTTGACAATGGGATATGGAATGAGGTTACGCAACAGTAAAGAAAGTGGTGGCTGCCCATGCCGTGCCGAGCTGAGGTGCACTGGTTGCTACACAGCGATGCCCAGCAACACCTCTGTAAACATGGCCATTACACAACAGTGAAGCGAGGTGCGTTTTTGGCTGTCCGACTGAGGGTTTATAAGAGTAACTGGAATGACTAAGGAGTCAGATGAGTACAAGTTACGAGTATTGAGTATTTGGAGTATTTGGGAGTTCGTAGAAGACCTGTGAAGATTTAAAGGATTATTAAGAAAACTTTATATGTGTGATGGTGCAGTGATACTGGAAGTGTAATTGGAAGATCTCATGTGCAATATCTGGACTGATTTGAAGTGTCAATTCCTGGGTGGAGATCCGTTGCTATGAAACAACTAGTGCATATGCAATGGTGAATTGAAGTGTGTGTAAATCAGCTATAGCGCTGTAATTTGAGTGTAATTGAGAGAGTGCGTGTAACCAAGCTGTCAATAAATCCAGTCGTCCAAACTAGGACCCATCATTTCATCACACATATACGTGACAATACTATAGGAAATTACACCCATTTAACACTTTGCGGACTGGACGCATGATATCAGGCTTTTTGCTTTTAAACGTGGCTGACTGGTCGCATGATATCAGGCTTTTAGGACACATTAGGTTGTTAACACACTATACCTTGCTCTGGCGCCATGCAACTGAAATTAATACTGTGTAATAAATCTTCGGAATGTATGCTAGGTATTCAGTAACTTGATCTGGCTGGCTACAGTCCCTACTTCAAAAGAAAATAAACTTTGCCCCTTCCAGCTGTTTATGTACCAGGCAGGAAGTTAGTAGAGGGGAATATGTTTCAAGGACAAAAGTGGTTGAAGGCAAAGTGATCTCTCAGACTTGTTTTCCGATGAGCTATCTGACATGCCTTGTGGAGGAGTGACTCACATAGTGGAAGTGACAGGGGTCAACAAAGAATTGTGGCCAGAGATAATAAAAGTGAAAGTTGCCTTGTGGCTTATAAATTGTGCCATTTTCAATTCATTTTTAGTTTAAAAAAAATCTAAACCCTGATTCAAAATTGAAATACGTGGGGCAATCCAAAAGTTTCCGAAATTTGAATTTTGCGTGCGAATGGTTATGAGTACATCGAAATACCGCTAGGTGTCTCCTCACACATCCTTCTTCAATCAGTGTGGCAAGCGGCGTCCACTTGAGTGGTTCGGTTTATTGTTGATGAACGTATTTCCATTGTTGTGTTTCCGTGAGTTTGCGGTTTTGCGATGGCTGACCTGAGAGAGCAGCGTGTCTGTATAAAGTTTTGTTTCAAACTTGGGAAAACTGCTGCAGAAACGCACCAAATGTTGAAGCAAGCTTTTGGTGAAAACAGTTTAGGCCAGACACAATCTTACAACTGGTATAAGCATTTTAAAAATGGCCGAACATTGACTGATGATGACGATCGTTCGGGATGGCTGTCAACGGGCAAAACACCAGAAAATGTCATGGAAGTTAGGGATCTGACTCTGCAAGATCGTAGACTGACCATCCAAGACCTCTGTAACACCCTGGGACTAAGTTATGGTACATGTCAACGAATTTTGTCAGAGGAACTGAACATGAGGAGGACTGCGGCGAAGTTTATGCCACGACTGCTGCAAAATGAACAGAAGCAGCATCGCTTGGAAGTCTGCAGGGAACTTCAGCAACAGCTTCAAGAGGATCCAGACTTTCTTTTGAAGGTTGTCACTGGTGACGAAAGTTGGGTTTATGGCTATGACCCTGAAAGCAAGCAGCAACTGTTGCAATGGAAGAGCCCTTCTTCACCTCAGCCAAAAAAAGCTTGACAAGTCAAGAGCAACATTAAGTCCATGTTGATCTCTTTTTTTGATACTGACGGGATTGTTCATAAGGAGTTTGTCCCTCCAGGTCAGACAGTCAATAGAGTTCTATCGCGATGTTCTAAGGCGTTTGAGGGAGAACATGAGGAGAAAACGTCCAGAGAAGTGGCGCACGAATGACTGGGTACTCCACCATAACAACGCATGACTGCATATGGCTTACAGTGTGCAGGAATTTTTGGCTAAAACAAGATGGCGGTTGTTCCCCACCCACCGTAATTGCCAGACTTAGCTCCATGCGATTTCTTTCGCTTCCCCAAGATGAAAATCAATTTGAAGGGGCGAAGATTTGATACAGTTGAGGAAATTCAAGCGGAAACGCAGATGGTACTAAACACCCTAACGAAGAAAGACTTCCAGGATGCATTTGAAAAGTGGCAGAAACACTGGAATCGGTGTATGCGCTCCCAAGGGGACTACTTTAAAGGTGATGGTGCAGAATAATATCTAGGTAAGATGTAATAGATTTTATTAATATATTTTGGGAACTTTTTGATTGCACCACGTACAAAGCATTTCTGATGAATGTGGCAAAGGCTTGGGCTACAGACCAGATGGTGGCGGCAGAACCAGAGTCAGACAGACTTGGTGCAACCTAGCCCATCAACTTCCACCCCACACAGGCCTCATGTGGACACCCCTGGGTGACTCTCGGGTGATATGCGGAAACATACCCTCGTGAAAATTGTGAAGAGTGAACATTCCAAGGGGAAGCATTCTTCTAGGCAATGCCATGTTTGCGCAGTTCACAAAAAAAGGACTATGACTGTCTACATTTGCAAGTGTGTAATGCCACTTAATAAAGGGGAATGTTTCCAGAAATATCACATTCTCAAGCACTTCCACGAGCATTGGTAAGGGTTCTCCAAAAATTTTAGTACATAAAATTAATTAGAAGATTTTATATTAATTTTTAAAGTGAAAAGTGCAAAAGTTAGGGTAGTAGGTATAAAAATGCTGGTCCCCAGGGTGATTTAAATATTTAAATTGCCGGTCCACAAAGTGTTAAGAAACCTACATTCCCACTTTCCACAGGCAATTTTAATAGCTCCTTGCATAATATGAACCAAAGCATAAATGAAAGGATGATCATAATTTAAAACAAAATTGCAATCAAAAACAAGATTCCTTTCCCCACCATTAGCATCTCCAATATTATGTGAGAGAGGGAAAAGCATATCCTTAAATATGACATATTAAGAAACTTCCAGTGAAGATAATACATCTTGAAACTTACTTCTTTCTTTTCTCCTGTGATGTTTCTGTACCAATGAATTCTGGATTTCATTTGGAATTGACTCAGTTGGGCTGAATCTATTTTCTCAAGTGGATTATGATCTGAGACTAGGTGGAATGGAGAGCAAAAATTTTCCAATGTGTTCTTTGCTACCGTGCATACCTTATTAGCCTTGATGTTCATTTACTGCAAATACAAATCTACTGTTGCAAAGAAAATTGCCTTAACCACTACGCTACTGCATGCCCTGTTTATGTTATGTACGAATTTTATATATGATGAGCTGTTCTGAAATAAGAGATGAAGCTTCAATCTGAGTTTCATTTATGTTAATGATTATAATAAATGACAATAAATGCCAAAATGAAATTCACTCAATAACTTTCGGTGTAAGACCTTATAACAAATTTCATCAAACTCAAGTACTTCTGGAGATAAAACATGTAGTTGGACACATTCTTCCATTTATTTTATGTACATTATGCAAATAATACATAAAAAAAGAAAGAAAATATTACTGTTAGTAAAAGGAAAATTTTCTATCCAAACAAGAAAACTATGAACTGGCAGTAGACATGAAAACTGATGCTCTATTACTGACCTCAGATACAAATATTATAATCTTCACAAAAGTAAATGCCTTACATCAACGTCAGAGAAATGGCCTGCAAGTATTCGTAGGGGCTGATGCTGATCAGTGGCCCATAGGCGGGCTGTCTTGTCATGACCAGCAGTGGCAAAGTAGTAGCCATGAGGTGCAAACCGCACATCCCACACAGGGAAGATATGGCCCTTGTAGCATACAAGGCATGTCCATGTCTGAAGGCTCCACAGCCGCACTGCAAGAAGAAAAAACTTCATACCTACAGTGTAACCACCATTGAATGAGTATGATTTACGACAAGAATTTTATTACATCAGGAAAAATAACTGGTGCCATAAATTCCTTGTCACAGGCATGGAAAAATCTTGCATAATATGCGGACTTTCTCCAGCATTCATCATCAGAAGTGATTCTTAACTAGCTGTAACTATTTTCTGTGGCATTTGTCATCAGTTATTAGTCATGCTTTCAAGCTATTTACAGTAGGAGGTTAGTCCATGTATTATTAATATACCTCTGGGCCTTTCCCTTGTCTAGGAGAAGAAAGTCTGCATTCTATAATCTGAGTACTGTACATCTTAATAGAAAATTTACCCAACCTTGAGGCAATAGTGTTTAGCATGCATGTGTAAAGTCCTTCCAACATGGAATAAAAAATGCCAGTTGACTTCTCTAAATGTTATACAGAGCAGTAGGGAACAATGGTTTTAGAACCACATTTAATTCAACTTCATGGCTCGGGGTTGAATTCGCTCCATAATTTAGCCAACAAGAAATGACCATCATGTAACATTATCTGAACTTCTCTGAGTCCAGCATCTTGTTTCATTGAGTATTATGTTATATGACATAAACACCGTCCCAAGTGCAACAATTTATTGTAGTTCTTTTGTCTTGCCCTCTTCTACACTACATGTTTCGGCCGCAAACGGCCATCCTCAGGTGTATGCACTTACGTAGCTGTTACACCGCATTTAGTTTAAAATTTAAAACCATAAGTCTTCACAATTGTTCTTTCTGTCGTTACCAACAGGTTTCGATTTATCAGAATCTATTTCGCTGATATCTGTCTGCTTTGTGCATTATCTTTGTTGCCTACACTCGTCAATTTTGATATTATGAACCGGCACTTTTAAAATCTTCAGTTCCAATTTAAAATTCTTTTAAAAATTAAAATTCTCAGGGTTACTTGCCCTATGTCTGTAGTGCTGCAGCAGCTTCTTCTTCTTTTCAGCACTGTTATTCTGTGTAGGCTCCCTGTGTGCAGCCGCTGCTTATCTTAATATCTTCATAATATCAAAATTGACGAGTGTAGGCAACAAAGATAATGCACAAAGCAGACAGATATCAGTGAAGTAGATTATGATAAATTGAAACCTGTTGGTAACGACGGAAAGAACAATTGTGAAGACTTATGGTTTTAAATTTTAAACTAAATGCAGTGTAACAGCTACGAAAGTGCATACACCTGATGATGGCTGTTTGTGGCCGAAACACATAGTGTAGAAGAGGGCAAGACAAAAGAACTGCATTAAATTGTTGCACTTGGGACGGTGTTTATGTCATATATCGTATAGAGTGCAACAGGATGCTTAAATATAATAGAGTATTATGTTGCTTGCCTAGTGAACTGGAGATGAAAATTTTTCTGTGGTTATGCTGCATTCCTACTTATGGTAACAAAAGGAAAATGCTTAGACTTGTACAGGAGGCCTGAAGTATTATATGTCTATGAAGTCAGGCACTCAGAGAGTGAAACTAAACAATGATGGTATGGATCGACTTCTTTGAAAATGAACTGAGAAAGCTCATCTTCTGAAAGGATTTCCTGTCTGGAAGCAAGAAAAAGCATTAAAACCACAAGGTGTCAGGCAATTCTGATGCGTTTAGAATGTAGCTGTAATGCGTTTTGCAGGTGCAGCAGATAGTGTGCAGGACTTTTGCTTGTACAGGACAGCTAAACCATTCAGTTGTGGGTATAACTGAATATGCAAGCATGAGAAAATTTTAACTTGTCAGTTCAGATATGCTAAAATAATCTGTTATTTTAATATTTCCATGATAACTGCTCCAAAGGACGATAAATACAGTCATATTCACTTATTTTTTTAAACTAAGTGCTGTACTGTAATGTAGGTCAAGGGTACCCAAACTACAGCCTGCGGGCCACATCCGGCCTGTAAAAGAATTGTGCAGAAATGTGGCAATTGAACTGATTTTCCAATGAGTACTGGTAAATGTGATTCCGAGCCTACTGACCTGTCATATTATAGTGCAGTTCGATGCCTTAGCTGTGGAAAGGTTCCTTCGCGCTTCTTTCAGCTCAGGGATGAAATTGATATATTTCTTACCGAGAAAAACCATCACTACCCACTTTTATCAGACACCGAGTGGCTTTGGAAATTAGCATTTTTTGCTGATCTGGTGAACCATATGAACCATTTGAATTTAAGGTTGCAGGGTGAAAATAACTTAGTCTGTGATTTATTTGCACTTACCAAGGCATTCAGAGCAAAGTTGATACTTCTGGAAAGCCAAGTGAAAAATTGTAACTTTGTTCAAATGCTATACTGTGCAGAGTTGCATAAAAAGGTGAAGCAGAATTTTATCCGGCCTGTTGAAAGTGCTAAATTACCTAATGTGGCCCACGGTTCGAAAAGTTCGGAGAACTCTGATGTAGGTAATTAGAAGTAAGTGAACAGACTTGAAGCTCATGTATTCCAACCACTTTCAGATTCTGAAAGTACCCATCAGAATGAACATTTCTATCAGTTTTATAAATTCTCATTATATGGAGACTGTACTACATTTTCAGTTGTACAGAAAGATTGGCAGGAATTACAAATATATGTACCACTTGGTACATCTAGAATATATGGCGTTAGCAAGTTAGATAAACAAAATGGCCAAATAAACAATTTACTTGACACTAGAAAAAGCAAAGGAGTATTACTGATGCTTATAATTTAATGTATGGAATACCTGTTGTATCCTCTGAACAGGATAATAACAGTGTTCTGTCTGGACTGAAAGCCACACGGTACACTGGCCCATTATGTCCATGAAGAATTCTGCTTGTCTCAGCTGAGCGATCGTCCATCATGCGAACCAACACATCATCTACAAAACAAAGCCAGTGCACTTGTCCTTATACTTGATTTTACTGAAAGGGCTGAAGAGACATCCCTCTCCCAACAATGCACCATAATGCTAATGTTTCATTCTTCTAAAATGAAATGAGATTCAGCTATACTCACATCTCTTCCTCTATGATATCTCTGGGATATTTAAGATATGTTTGAACCACTATGGGAGGATTAGTTTTAAGAGTCCCACCTCAGGCCACCATCACAAGGAGATCTGGATGGCTAGCAACTAGGCTGCCAAATACAGGGTGGGGCACAGAAACTTCCTTTTTATGAAGACGCATTGTGAAGGGGGGGGGAGGTTGCAGAAAATTGGGGATAGGCTTGGCGAATGCAGCAGTCGCGGAAGTATCTGTCTAATACCCCTCAGTAGGAAACATGAGGTGGACGAGTGAGCAGCGTGCGTTCCGCACTCACTTTGGAATTAAGCTCAGAGGTCCAGTTCCTGACCGGAAATCGACTGTTTTGTGGGTAGAGAACTTTAGGACAACCGGGAGTGTGGTGAAAAAAATCATCAAGACAACAACAGACCGTTACGATGCCAGAAAATGTGGAGGCAGTTCGACAGTCAATTTTGAGATATCCAAGATGCTCTGCTTGCAAACATGCAGTCACCCTAGACATATCCAATTGTTCAATGCACCAAATTCTTCACGAACACCTTCATTTCCATCCCTATAAGATGGTTGTTGTGCAAGAATTGACACCACATGATTTCCAGAACTGAATAATGGTGTGCGAAATGTTATTGGAAACTTTACCCCCTGACGCACTTGTTTTCTTTAGTGATGAGGCACATTTTCACCTATCTGGATATGTCAACAAGCAGAATATGCACTATTGGAGTGGTAACAATCCCAGAGAGCTCCATAAGAGGCCACTTCACAGTGATAAGGTGACAGTATGGTGTGTGTTGTCGAGAGTTGGAGTTATCGGCCCTTATTTTTTTGAAGAAGACAATCATGCAGTTACTGTCAATTCACAGCGGTATGTGGATATGATTAAAAACTTTCTTGCACCAGCTCTTGAAGAAATGCATCTAGGAAATGTCTGGTTCCAACAGGATAGTGCCATGGCCCACACATCCCGAGCTTCGATAACAGTTTGGAGGGCAAAGTTCCCCGGATGGCTCATCTCGCTTCGAGGTGACATCCCCCTGATCTAAGGCCCTATGATTTCTTTTTATGGGGATACCTCAAGGCAGAGGTTTTTAAACATCGCCCACAAACCTGCTTCAGCTGAAGAATGTTATTTGGCAGGAAGTAACCCAAATTTGGGTGCACATGTTGGAACGTGCAGAGGGGAACTTCAGAAAACGGTGGCCACCACCTTCAAGATATTTTGTTTAAAACACATGATTTAAAACTTTAAAGTATGTTCTTTCATTAGCTAAACATAAATTTTGTCTATCAGCCATAATTTTTCTTTTATTCACCTTCAAAAAAGGAAGTTTCTGTAACCTACCCTGTACAACAAACAATTCTGGGTGTTCTAAATGATAGTCCATTAGTGGTGGAATGTCAGTCACCCTGGAAACAATACTATAAAAATACTAAAAAAGCATATTAAGTTTATGTTAAAGATCAATGTACAGTAATATAGCCTATTCACAACTTATTTCATATTTAGGAGGATGATGCTGTAATACAGACTGCCATTCATATGCTGTTCACAGTGATATGCAATGATCTTTCTGTGAATGAGAACCATTAGCCTAGTATTAAAAATATATTGGGTTCAACCCTAAATGCTATCATTAACATAATAGAAGTAATAACCAATCTGTGATTTGATGTTTTCATAATAGAGAAGGTTCATATAGTCTTACGGGTAGTATGGTACATAAGTACTAATATTTTGGAGAAACATGCTGCTTACATAATCAGGATAGGAGAGAGAATGTTCCTTCAAAACATTTGTATTCATCCACCACACTATGCACTGTTTATGCAGAAGACCATAATAAATGTCAGTACAGTGATAATAATAATAATCTGAAGACAAGATTACAGCTAACTCCCAAATGTGTAATATATGGAGAATGTTCACCATAATATTGGTACAATGAATCAGTCTCAGTGTTTCAGTGAATGACAAGTCATTCTCAACCATAACTTTGACCAAAAAACTCTAGCCTAAACGGGCTGAAATATTTATGCAAAGTGATAGTGATATTTACATAGAAGATGAAGGAGAGGAAACGCTGAAAGAGTAGGTGCTGGAAGAAGAACCACAACTGTCACCACTCACCAACAAAAACACAATTAAGCCAGCGATGTCACAGTAAAAGTTCTTGCCAGAAGGCTGGAAGGTAATGGACACAAGCTATATAAGGACAATTCTTTGTTTTCCCTTGAGGTGCTTGAAGACCTGACAAAGAAGACAATAATCACAGGACAGTACGACCAAAAAGGAAGCCATGTCATATCTGAGGCAGTCATCGGCTTCTCACCATGCAGGCCCAGGGTAATGAAGGACTTGTGGACAAAGTGGCACTGGAGCAGGTTTTTCTTTGAGTATATTATTATTATTATTATTTATTTATTTATTTTGATCTGAGCAATGCATTTGACCTTGTCCCATATTCTCCTCTTCTTCATAAGCTTAGTGCTTTTGGGCTTTCTGGTGGCTATGTAAACTGGTTTCACAGTTACTTATCCAGCTGGAAATCTCAGGTTCGTGTTTCTGGTATTTTTTCCTCACCTTCTGAGGTTCTACAAGCATTATGTTTTTGGACATTACCCATCATCCTGTCTATTTTCTAAAAAATTGTCCTGTTTATTTTTCAAAACACAACGTTTCGGAGACTGCATTCTGTCCCCGTCCTCAGGTAAAACCTACTCAGTTAGCTCCAATAGATAGAGCTACCTGAGGACAGGGAAAGAATCCAGTCTCCAAAACGTTGTTTTGAAAAATAAACATGACAGCTTTTTAGAAAAGAGACAGCATGATGGATAATGTCAAAAAACATAATACTTGTAGCAGTGTACCATCGTCACAAACTTTTAGAACTTACTTCTGAAGTTCTCTCTGGTGTTCCTCAGGGATCTGTCCTGGGACCCCTGCTCTCCAATGTGTTTATTAACGATATATGTGATACAGTTTCCCATTCCAAGTATCTACTTTTTGCTGATGATATCACAATTTACTGAGCCATCAAATCTCCTCAGGACTGCAATCTATGAAGGTAAGTCAATAAGTAAGTTACAAATGGATATAGAACTTAAACAAATAAGAGTACTGATTTGAAAAATGCTTTTATTTTTTAACATAATCTCCCTGTACATTGAGGCACTTGACCCATTGTTTCACAAGCGCCTGAAAACCAGCAGCATAAAATTCTTTGAGCTGCCGTTGGAACCAGGCGGTGACTTCCCTTTCTACAGCTTCGTCATCAGAAAAATGTTCAGCCGAAAGATGATGTTTAACACTTTGCAGACCGGTGGCATATTTTTATGCCAGCGCTTTTAAACGTGGCAGACCAGTGGCATATTATTATGACTTTAGGACACGTTATGTTGAAACACACTATACCTTGCACTGGCGCCAGGCAGACGCATGACTGGTGCCTGACAGACCTCTTGAATGTTTGCTTCGTAGTCAGTAACATGACCCCGCTGTTTATGACCCAACTGTTTTCCTTTCTCACTCCAAAAGAAAATGCCTTTGTTCATCTTCCAGCTGCATGCACCGGGCAGGAAGTTACTAGTGCAAAATGGATCAAGGTCGGAAGAGGTTGAGGTCCAAGCGTTTTCTCGGAGAACAAGAAATATCTGACTTGTTCTCCAATGAGCTATCTGACATCCCTTGTGAGTCTGCTAGTAATGGCGACTCACAGTCTGATAGTGAGTGTGGCAGGGGCGAACAAAAAATTGTGGCCACAGACAGTGAAAGTGAACGTGTCAGTAGCTCTGATGAAAGTGCGGGTAGCAACATTGCAGGGAGAGCCATATGGGGAAAAGTAGACAAAACGCCTGCTTTGGGACAGTTTACTGGAAATCCAGGGGTGAAGAAAATTCCATCGGACCCAACACAAGTGTCTGAAGTAGCGGAACTGTTTTTTGGAGATAGTTTCTTTGACACGCTATGTCAGGAAACTAACAGATACTATATCCAACACCGTGAACATTATGACAGAAGTTATAAGGCGTTGAAGTGGGTGGATGTCACTTCAGCAGAAATGAGAAAATTTTTTGCAATTATCTTTCTAATGGGCCATACAAGGAAGGATAATCTGAAAGAGTATTGGTCAACAGATCCATTTTTAGAAATTCCAATTTTCGGCAAACTAATGAGCCATAAGAGATTTGAGCAAATCTAAACCCTCATTCAAAATTGAAATACAAGGCATTTCTGCTGAATGTGGCAAAACCCTGGGCTACAGACCACACAGTGGCAGCAGAACCGGCGGCAGACATAATCTTAGTACTACCGGGGTCGTCTACTCCCACCCCACGCAGGCCTCATTTTGACCCCCCTGGGCAACTCTCAGGTGATATGCAGAAACATACCATCGTGAAAATTGTGAAGAGTGAACATGCCAAGGGGAAGCAGCCTTCTAGGCGATGCCGTGTTTGCACAGTACACAACAAAAGGAGTATGACTGTCTACATGTGCAAGTTCTGTGTAATGCCACTTCACAAAGGGGAATGTTTCCAGAAATATCACACTCTCAAGCACTTCTAGGAGCATTGGTAAGTGTTCTCCAAAAATTTTAGTTCATAAAATTAATTAGGAGATTTTATATTAATTTTTAAAGTGAACAGTGCACAAGTTAGGGTAGTAGGTTTAAAAATGCCGGTCCCCAGGGTGATTTAAATATTTAAATTGCCGGTCCGCAAAGTGTTAAGAGGGCTGAACAAATGGAAGTCACATGACAGGTTAGGTTTTCACAAAGTCTGTGCATGATGGGTGCCGTGCATGCTGATCCCACAACACAAAATGCAAAGAATGGGTCTGGCATTACAGCATCTC